TTAAACATTCAGACTATACGGACAGGTATATCCCACACCTGGCCTACCCTGCCTAGGTCAGCTAATAACATGTCACTTCTCCCTTCTTTTTAGGTCTCTATCATCTTAGTCCATATCTGCATGAATGGAAATTAATGACAAACATGCAAGTGTTTTCAAGTGAGAAAGGGAGGCACTTTGAGTCTCACACTGCTGGCTGCTACACCTGCCTCTAAATTACATATAGAGCACTTTCATGCTGCTCAGAGCGTAAGTATTCAACTACTTATCAATTCAAACTATGAATTACTATGAAATGAAGAAAGGAACACAGCAAGGAGACCTCCAAATCACACTGACTGCAGTCATAAGTAAAAATAAGCGACGCCCAAGCATGGTGCTTTGCTGAGCATGTAGCTGTCTGGGAAGGTGTGTCATGCTTCACGGCCAGCCTGCAGCCCAGGACCTGCACACCACCCCAAAGCTGAACACAGGCACGATGAAGCAATTCCTGCTTATTGGGACATCTCTGGCTCACAGAGGTCCAGTTGGCTACGTGCACTCTTTAAAAATCAACATCACTGAAGCAGGGAACATAAACAAAGGAGGTCAGAATCACCTGCAAGTACTTTACCAATGCAAGATCATTACTACCACTCACTTCAAATAGCAAAAAACCAATTAGCAAGAACTTAGCCAGGAAAGTAGGGAAAAGCCCCCCACCATATATCTGCAAACACCACCACGAGATTTACAATTAACATGTGCAGGCATGACCATGCTGAGTTAAGCGCACAGGAGCAGGGCATGGTACTACCCATGGGGCACCCCTGAACCGAGTGGCCACAGAGGAGACAGCTGCCTGAGCCACGCAATCACGTCCCTCATCACAACACAGCCAGAAGTCACCTCTGCTGTAAAGAGGTGTCCAAGGCTCTTGTCATTCATTCGAAAAAGCCTTTCCTCCATGTGAGGCCACTTAGTGCAAAGCAGTCACACTCCTTTAAATTAAGGAGCACATCCCTGAAGCTACCTCAGGCTTTTTTCCCCACAACACAAAGTCCTCTGATTTAAGAAGGCAAAAAACAGTCAGTGTTGGAAGCCGTGAATGCGCAAATACCAAACTAGAAGGAACCCAAGAGAGAAGTGACTTTGCATCCTCCAAAGCCTTGTCTGCTTCCATACTGGCAAATCGGCACCCTGTTCTCCATCGGATGAGCAGGAAGGCCTTCTAAAGTGAAGTGTTAGCCTACTCCCCGTTACGGCTATTCAGCTAGGCCACAACTCAATACAAGGTAGAGCAGAAGCACAGACTGACCACCACCTTGCTACTTCACGTATCGCCATTAGAGGAATCCTTCTGGTAAGCTGTCACTGTTACCCATAGGAATAGGAAGTCCTTGAGAGGGGGCTAGAATGGTCTTGGTTGTAACAGAATGATGTTCTATACATTTAGCCCATTTCAAAAGCCTCCAGTCAGTAACTGGGTCTCTTAACACCTATCCTCCACAGGGGTATGACTTCCAGTTTCTTTTTAAAGGGCTGTTTTTTTTCCCCCCCCCAGATTAAAAAGGGCATACAAAGATCTTACCTAGCACAAACTTCTTTGCAGGGGAGGCAAAAAGTTCACTAATGGAAATAAAAAGGAAAGGGAGGACTTAAAAAACAGCCTTGGGAACTGTAGGGCAAGAGAAATGAGTTGTCCTTTAGCAAAGCTGTGGTGAAAAAACACTGCTTCCGCAAGGTCACCTAAGAGCAGCGAAGGCCCGCAGTGAAGCGCCGAAAGCTCTCCAAGGACACGAGAACCTCAACTCAAGGTGAGCTGAGGTTTCTTCCTTATTTCCACTGCTGGGAGCAGCCCCCTCCTCATTGCAATGTTAATTTCCAACAAAATACGGAAACAACAACAGTCTTCTTCAACTAAATCATTAAACTACCTCATTAGGAGACAAGCACAGACAGGAGCAGTTTCTATGGACAACTGACCTGCTGAGATTTGCCCCCGTAGCCATACCTCACTAGGAGGTCGACGGGAGGCTACAAACTGTTGTGACCTTTTCTTCCCCATGCAGCTAGCGACGTTTGCTCATCAAGACGGAGAGGTTATTGCTCTTTAACCTGTCTGAGAAACCTTTTTTCCCCCTCTAACACAACCCCAAGATTCTGTGAATCCCTCTCGCATTCATATAAGTACCTATTAAGAAATCTACTTGAAAGTGCTCATGTTGAAATTTGTCTGCAATTCCTTTGTTTAAAGTTCGCTAGTGTTTTACAAAGGCTGCGTGCAGTTATGGTAGAATTGCTCCAGTACAGCTCCTGACATGTGAAATTAAAAAAAAAAAAACAAACAACAAAACAACAAGGGCTCTTACTATATCAGCAGCATAATGTCTGCATGTTTTTTTCTGCATAAAAAGGAGATTGTTTCTTACATAGTTGTCAATGAATTTTTCTAGCATGGGATGACTCCTCAAATAAATAAAAATATTCATTACAGCAGAGGTGCACTCAGCAAGCTTCTCTGGACAAACAAATGAGATCAACCTGAAAAAACATTGTTTGGCTGAACACAAGAGTCACTACTAAAATCACCATACCACATTTTTTTTCCCTCAAATGCCTCCTTCCCCCTTTAGTATGAAAGCATCCAGGAAAATGTATCCCTTTACAAACGTTGTGGACTACTCACATTCATGAGATTCGAGCCACCTAGCCGTCGCCATGTTGCTAGTCCACCAGAGAAGACTAATCATGGGCCATGCTGAGACCAAGACCCCCAAGACTGCTGAAGTCATCTCATGCTTCACAGAGTGAATTCAGTACCTGACATGTCAATAAATACCAACTTATTTTAATACGCTTGTTTACATTTCAAAGTAAACCAACAAACATTGATAAAATTCACTTCATCTCAAAAATCACAGAATCAAACATTCTGTGAAAATAGTTACAACTTAGTTTGACATTAATCCAACTTTGACAAAATAGTATCTGGAATGATTCCACTGATTTCTGCAACTCAATGATAAAAAAAGCTACTCAAGCAGTAAAGAGAAAACAATTATTAATATTTAACCCTTATCTCAAAATATCTTTTTGAAGTTATTTAACAAAAATAAACAACTGTACTTAAAATAAATGATGTAAAATTACAACAGCTCTCCACTTATGAAACCTGTAGTATAATCTGTAACAAATAAAAGTTTTTCATTGGACTGTGAGCCTGGTTACAGACCTGTAAATAAAAGGCTAGTGACAAAGTCTATGATATTGCCAGCATCCCAAGGGGAGATCTGCTGAGCTAGACTCAATTTTATCATAGAAACATTCACCACAGTAACTCAAGAGACAAAAAAAGTAAACTACCATGGTTCTTCAAAAAAGAGGATACTATGGTTGCTATAGTGAAAAGCAAATATATAACTAACAACTTGTACAAAATATGGGCTGACAAATAAATTGTATTTTCAGAGTAAGTGTATCAGAGATTTGGATTTTACCCTTCTGAAAATACATCAAGTATTCCTACAGAAAGAAAGGAAACTGCGAAGTTCAACAAGTAGAACAAGTATTTACTTTCAGAAAAAAATGAACATCATTTTAAAGCAATTGTGGCTGTCCAAATCCGTGACTCTGGAAAGAAAACTGCTTCCTTCCTACATGTGAAGCAACTGAGAATTATCCCATACTTCTCTCTCACATGAATTTAAAATAAAGTTTTCACAGTTCCATTGATCCGCTTTAACAGTCAGAAGAGCAAGGGGAGGTGGGAGGAGTTTGATTAGCCAAGCAGCGAATGTTCGCAAAGAAGCTTTATTATGAATTGGTTATTTTGTTTCCTGAATGTAAGTGGCAGAAAGAATGAAAGAATTATAATACAGAGATACCGAACTAACTTTTTTTTGACCAAGAGCAACCAGAATACAACCTTCCGCTTTTCAGAACAAGCCATTCTAATGCAAAGCTGATCACATTAATGTTGTACTTCGTAACAGCCCATGGAGACAAAGCAAACGCTTTGGCCTCTTTTGAATATCATCTTATCTGGGCCTAGCAAGAAAGCAGAAGTTGTTAATAATTAGATGTGGCCTTTACTTATAAAATTATATTAGTCTTCCAATGTTAGATTTTGAGATAAAGGCATAGCTTCACGGTGGCAGAGGTACAGGAAAGTACCAAAAATACTTGAGCATGTCTTTAACTATAAACCAGAAGCTTCTTGTTTTGTTCTACATAACAACCACATAGCACAAAATTTTGATGATCTGGCATGTTTTGAAGTTATTTTTACTTCACTCATTTTTAAGTCCAAACAGCTGACAGTGTCTAAAAGTGATATTAAATGAGTGTAGGAGGAATAGGAGATAGGATCCTCAGAGTGAAAATCTGAAGAACCTTCTCTTTTTAAATACAGGTTAAAAAAATTACTATCATACTGCATTAATGGAATTTTTATCCAATACACAGCTCTTTGATGTGGAAGCAGAAAAACATATCTCAAAGAAAAACAAACAAACAAACAAACGCAAATAACACAGTACTTCTCTACTGCTTTAGAACTGATGAACATGCTCCCATTTCTCCTAGACTTTGAAAAAAAAAAAAAAAAAATTACCAGCAGGAACCCTTACAAGAAATAGATGAACACGCTCCCTATTACTCTATTATTTTAAAAAAAAAAAAAAAAAAAAAATTACCAGCAGGAACCCTTACAAGAGTGCCTTATCAGGAAAGGCCAGCCCGACCACTCGTGATTTCAGTTCTTCCAGCAATGTCTTATTTGTGTGCAATGAATAATCAGATGCTAGGTATCATTAGAGTATGGTATAGTGAATAAATGCTACCCACAGGCTGGGGTGGAACGGCAGCGCGCAGACCCAATTGATCTTTGCATGTGTTTAAATTACATGTTCTTAAAAGCTTAACACTTTGCCTGGATTCTGCATATCAACCTTACTGCTAGAAAAGTTGCAAACAACAACAACAACAACAACAAAAAATCATGAATATAAAAAAAATGCTGTAACACAGGCTTCAAAGAGCAACGAGTTTCCATACTCCTCTTTATTTCAACAGAGATGATTAGCTAAGGTGCTTTCAGATTCTGCATTGCAGACAGGTTGTCAGATGTGGCTGTTTAATAAGCTCTTAACAGTCTTTAGTGGGTATCTGAGAGCAGTTCCTAAGGCAGAAGCCCCAAACTGCTAGTTTCTGTAGCGGGGCATCTGTGGAGCAGGGGCTCCCTCTAAGGGGGCTGAGGAGGAGACTGTCATAAGCTGTCCAGCATGCATTCTCTCATTCACCCGCAGTTCACAGCCATCCTGCAGCATCCTTATAGCTATCCTTGCAATGTTTTTAGAGTCATCGAGTCCACTGTGAGGTCTCCCATCATAATTCATGCCCAGCTTTTCAAGCATGATTGTCAGCTTGGTCTGGCTCCTAGGAACCTGATGGAGAAAGTGAACCACATTCAAGAATTAGGTTCCGTACCAAGTTTTTTTAATCTAACACAGTGCAGTAGAAACATATGCAGATTTTAAGTCTACTTAAGTCACATACTACTTTCATGTTGCCTTTTGTCAGATCACTAACAATTTACCTTCAAAGCACCTTGGTGAGACAGACACTTTCATTTTTACAGAGGAGACATAGTCAACAGGAGCTTGTCTAGACTCAGGATAATCTCAAGAGCCTCTCACCATTTCCAGCATGAGCTCGAGATGTGCCAGTGCTGGCAACGGTGGAAGCCGTGGCCTAGCTGGGTTTAACAAGCTTTATAAAAAAGGAATTACCACCCAAAGTGGCATTGCAGAGGGAATCACATTTTGGTTTTCCTTTTAAATGCTAAGCGATTAAAGAAGCACTAGGCTCCTGATTCTCACTGACATCAAGCTTCTGAATGCCTCCAAACACCACAGGAACAGATCAGCGACACCTGTAGCAGCCCATGTTTACATGGATGACCAACAGCACCAACAGACGAGGAAGCTTAACTGACTTACCCATGCAAAGTGCTACACCAGCAAAAGCCCCAAGTACTCTCTTGATTAACTACTAAATATACATTTTTGCTTTGGAACGGTCAAAGAGAAACAAAAGGATAGCTTCAAAGGAGAACTTTAGTTTGCTCTCTTGGTGGTGGTTGTTGGGGTGGGGGAACATGGGACATGACAAATTCCAGGATATTGCACCATACTACTGGATTTAATAGCTAGGCAGAATGGTGACGACACAGTTGCCAAAACCTGGCAATATGCAAATCCAACAATAATACCCACAAACTGGGCAGAGGAGACATACCTGCAGGTTGTGGGATATTCCACAGGAAAGTTACAATACATTCCTTGTCATTAATTTTATCTATTACTATTACTTTACAACAGATTCAATAGCAACACAGAATAGCTACAGAAGAACTGACCGACTATAAATGCTACAACTGTTTGCATTTATTAAAAAAAAAAAAAAAAATCACAAAACCCAAAAAGAAACTGATGCATTCTAAGTTACAATCTTCATTGCCTTTGATGAAAAAGCACTCACCGCTCAACAGAGAAGGAAAAAGAAAGTATGTCAAGGTTAAAGCTCATAGGACTAACAAGACCGTTCTGTGTTCTCGCATGTTTCCAACAGAAACGGTCATGCAGAGAAGGCACAATAATAGAGGGAGAAATAGAGTAACCCTGTAATATTTGCTCAGCACAAAGTAAAGCTCTTCTCTTATTAAATGTTAACCTCTTTTTTTTTTTTTTCCTAGAGGTTACCTTTAGTATGAAAAATCCATTCAAGAGAAGATCATCAGCTAGGCTGAAATCACATTCAAACAAATGGTTTAGTGTAGACTGACTAGGAATTTGCTAGAATTTCCAATAACCTGTTTTATGGTAATCTGACAGTGAAAGAAAGCAGCAACAGGTTCCAGCACTGAACTTGGTATTACTTTTCTCTTGACAATTTGATCCAACTGTAGATATGTGCTAATCTTTCTCTGTTCCCATTACACTGTCAGAAGTGGAGATAATTTGAGGGTAGCAGTGCAAATTAGTTTTGTAGTGTATTACATGAAAACAGGAAAAAATAATTGAAAAATCAATAGAGTCTTTTCAGCTGAACTACTTCAAGACATACTTGATCTAAGAGCAGCAGTATGACATTTTTAGACAATCCTTGATGAAGCATGTCCTGATTTTTAAAAACAAGATTAATATCAAAATGCAGTAGATATGATCTTCAATTAGTAAAGTGAGATCCATGCATGAAGCACATTTGAAAAATCAGGCCCCAAGCAACTAGTTTAAGTACTATAATTTCATACTACACAAGTAAAGATGACAAGCACAACAGGACATTCTAGACTTTTAAAACAAATTTTCCCGCAAGAGAAACAACAATCTGTACAAACCTTATAAAAGTTCCCATACGATTTGCGAATATTGATCCACTTTTTGGCAAAAGAAGGGTATTTGATACGGCTAATACGGCACTGGATGTTCAAAAATTTACTCATATCCCAAGATCTTAAAAAGTCAAAAGAGAAAAAAATTAGTAATATATAATTCAGATGCCCTGCGTTCTAAATATAGCACACAGCTGTAGCACGAACAGCTGTCTTGTCTATGGTGATCAGCAGAAGGAAAAGAGTTTAGGAAAAGCTCTTTAGCTATAATCATAGTAAAGTATTTTTTAGTATGAATTTCTTAATCATGGCTAAAACAAATAATGACATGAGCAAGACCTTCACTAGGATGGTTTCAGGTCGAGGATGGTTAAAACAAAACAAAACAAAAAAAATCATAGAATCATTGAGGTTGGAAAAGACCCTCAAGATCATGGAGTCCAACCATTAACCTAGCACTGCCAAGTCCACCACTAAACCATGTCTTCAAGCACCACGTCTACCCGTCCTTTAAATACCTCCAGGGATGGAGACTCAACCAC